GGTGTCTGTCCCTTCACCTGTCTGCTGGCTGGAAAAATTCACTGAATTCTTCCCAGTGGGGGCCTGATCCGCCCTTTTTCAAAACGGGGAAGAGGATTTGTGTCGATATGTCTCCTTGGTTGATCAAAAAAGATGAAAAAATCAAATCCTTTTTTCTGTCTCCATTCTGTAAAATGGCTCCATGCGTCACAAACGCTGTAGTTAAGCAGAGCAGTACAGAAGTGGGAGCTTTGGCATTTTGCTAGAAATAGGACGCAGAGTGCACAACTTCCATGGCAGGGAATCCACTCCTGATACTTCAGTGTGGCAGAAGAAGGGTTGTCCCTGCTCAGCCCCCTCATTTACACAGTACTGTGGCAAAGTGGTGCCTAGACTGAAAATAAATGAAGCAGTTCAGGGAGGGAAAAATCATTACTACCATTTGCAAGGTTGGCTGCAGTATTTTTTTTTTTTTCCAATCATAAACTGTTGTGAATTTGAATAGGCTGCTGTATTTCCTTTCCAGGCATGGCAATGTTTAGCTGGTAAATTAAGTAACCTTTTGTTTGGAAAGCTCTGTTGAGATGCTTTTGGGATGACAGGCATCAGCTAAGTTGTTGTTAAGTCTCCTGTTGACTGCCTTGGTTGAGGAGTTGGGCTGGGTGTTCTCACTCTTCCTGATGCAGAGGCTCAGAGTGCTTAGTCTGAGCCAATTTACTCATTCTTCAGCTCTTACTTTTTCAGCTTTAATTGGCTTCCTACTGGATGTCACAACGCATTTTCCTTTGGATGGCGGACATAGTCAGCGTCCTTCTCTAGGTTGCTAAGAACATGTTTTCATATTAGATAGGGCGGCCTAGGGCCGGCTGGAGGAAGCATGATGTGTAAGAGTGCTGAAGTAGAAGTGTGCTCTCTTTGCAATGGGAATATCTTCTCAGCCTTGTGGGTGACTCCACAGGTAACTTAAGTCATGTTCTTTCTTTCATAAAATGATACAGAGGTATAAATCCTGCTTCCAAGATATTTTCTTCATCAATAATAGCATCTCTGACATGAGAGGAAATTCTTACCAGCTCTTCTTTCTTGAGGAGCTTTGTAGCTTGTTGAGAGTTTGAACAGGCCACCTGTTCTGTAGATGCTACTTGATTTTGCTGCCTTGCTTTCTTGGTTATCCTAAAAATCACAGATTGCTATTTAAAGTACTTGAATTGACTTAGCAACCCATCTACTTGGTTGTTTCCATTTCCCACTCTCCTCTTTGAAAGGTTTTGATTCAATGACAGCAATGACATGGTGCATCTAGGTGATGGGACAAATTCATTTAGGTACTGCATAGATGAGCACAGCTGTTGATCACTAGAGAACAAGCGCTAGCCTAAAATTGCATAGGCTGTGTCTGGGCCATCTTACCTCTGTGTTAATGTGACAGACCCCAGTTTATTATTTTACCTTGAGCCGGACTTTGCCTGTGTTCCTGGTGAAGCTTTCCGTGCGTTCCCTAGAGGGAGTTCTCTGGTCACATTTTGATAAGTGGCCACCGAGGCTCTGTGATTGCCCTACTTTTTGGGTGTTTCTGGCCCAGCCCAGCAAAAGCACCGCCGCTTCCTGACAGTCCTGTCACCTGTCTAATGGGCCTAATGAGTCCCAACCTGTGTGTTTGTGTGCTGACCTCCTTACAGAGACTCTGTTATCTTTTGTTTTGGAAAATAGTTCTTTGCAATTTCATCTGGTCATCTGGTAAGTCTATAAAAATAGTGTTTTGCATGTAAACAATTAATCTTGCCCTCAGATAGGGTTGATGTCCAGCATTGCTGTTTATGATACAGAGCCAGTTACTGAGTCTTTATTTTGGTGGGCTCTGTGATACTCTAAAATACTAATAAACTGTCAGTGTTCTGTTGGTTCTTGTCACTGGTGTATACACTATTCTGTCCTGCTGCATCTGTTTCTACAGTTAAATGGGATTCAAGTGAGTTCATTAAGAGTATGTCACCTTATATTAACACTGAAATATACTAGGTGTCATGGAAAATAAATGCTCCCAATAAGTCTACAGAGTGTGAAGCTCTTCTGTATTATGAAAGCTGAACTTTGATTACTCTGGGAAGATGGGAGGGGGGAGGTATGTGGCTCTAACACAGGGCTCTGCAAGAACAAAATATTTGTAAAAGCTCCTCATTTCTCTGCTGGAGCGACACGGAGCTCACCTCCTGCCAAGGTCAGTGTCTGTACCTCTGTGCCTTCTGCTACAGTTACATGCAATGTTAATCCCTCAAGCACAGCAAAGAAGGTAACACCTTGTTTAGCAGCTAGGGATACTTTCGCTGTTGATTGCTACAGGACAAAAAGCAGAGCCATGGATTCACCGTTTGCTGGATAACGAGCCTCCCAGGTCGCCTAGAGTAGCAGCTTGCTCACCCTTGGAGTATCTGCTCTTGTACGTACTCTTCCTTACCTGTGGAAAATTAGAGCACACGAGATGTTCTGCAGTAAGTTCACGTGCTCTGAACCTGCAGTTGCTGTCTTTATGTGTGCCAGCCTTATGAGAAACCTCATTCATCTTAGCAGTCATGAATGTTCTTGTTTGTAAAGTATAAAACTATGAGAAACTCCTATAGGCTGTCCCTTTTCTTTCCTGCAACCTGTTCCCCTGCCCTCCTTGCAACTTACTGTGAAACGGAAATCGTTGTCTGCTTTTGAGACTGCTGTGAGGAGGGGGATCATCTATGCTTTGCAGCCATGGGGTACTGATTTTGAACGGATTTGCTGAGGCGCTCCTATGCCCCTGTCTTTCCCTTTTACTCCCTTTCTCTTCCGGAGGTGCTAATCACCTATGCCTTCATTTAATGTCAAAGGGTCTTTAGTGACCTTGGAAGGAAGAGAAGCTGAGCTGTCACTGTTAATCTTGAGCACAAATATGCAGCCCTTGCCACATTAGTCATGCCTTTGTCACCTCTAGATTGGATTAGTGCAGTGCACGGTATGCGGTTCTACAGCCAAAGACACATGCAGAACAGTGTTGTCTGCTTGTTTCAATGTCATGGAAGAGTATTTTCAAGAGAAGACAGCATTTATGAGGAATGCTCTCAGTCAGGATCCTCAGCTGACTTCTCACACTGGTCTGTCCAAAGCTATTTTGGCTGTCAGACTGTGCTTTAAAGCTTACCTGCTGCTGTTATCTCTTTTCATAAGAAGATAAGTTGAAGGATTGAATGGCGCTTCAGTTTAAGGCCTTTTGAGGCCTGTGTGTGCTGGAGTCGTCAGCAATTTTTATTTACTGTAATGGGTGGGTTTTTTTTTTTGGTACTCCTGATTTTAATATATGGCGCTTGTGTTTAGAGAGATGTCCTTAATGGTGGTTGTGGGACAATACAGAGGCAATAGTGTTTTTTCCCCTCCTACCCCATTCACAGGTGTATGATGCAGAGTAGTCCAACTTCCTAATTTGGACTAGTCAATCACTTGATCGGATATATAATAACAGGTATTCCTATATGGTTTAATTTCATTTACAGTACTTCTATGTAAATAAAAAAAAGGGGTGGGGGAAGGGATAGAAGGGATAAGAGATTAAACCCAGTCATGTTAAAACTAAGTTTAATGAAGCACCAATATTGAACACAGGATGTCATAGTAATCAGGAAACTGGACTGGTATGAATGAGCCTGTGCACTTGAATACCCTACAAAGCAAAGAGTATGCTGGGAGTTGAGCATAGGATGGTAAAGACAATGTCAGTTCTTGGTCCAACTGTTCACTGAACTGTGATGCAAACCTTGCTGCCTGTAATTGGGGATCAAAGATGATTTTTTTTTTTTTTCTTCTCGTTATGTTCAGTGTACCCATCTACTTATTTCAGCTTTAAATGCCCTCAGGAGACCTTAAGTTTTTGACACGTTTCTCCTCCATGCTGCTCTGGAGGGGTCAAGCTGTGCTTCATGACAGGTTCCCCAATAGGTGATTTCTCTACATAGGAGTAGTTTCTTTGCCCATCCCTGGGTGCTTAATGACATGATGGTTCTGAGCCAGTGAATAGGGTCTTAATCTATGGTAAGGCGTATAATATGACGGGTGGGGAAGGCTCAGCAAGTATGTTGGTGTTCATAGCCATAGATGGTAGCTTTTCCAAGGTGACTAGTAAATTACAACGGTTGCAGGTAGTTTTGTTTAAGTTCAGCTCTGCCTGACTGGTTTCCCAGATCAACCTTTAGGTTTATCTGATCTTGCTCTGTGTTTATGGCAATCTGCTTGGTTTTAGGAAGATCTGTCCTTCTGTGTTCGACTTTCTTATATTCTCTCATGCTGCTAAAATGTTTTGCTTTGGACTGGAGCTGGTGGGATGCAGTAGGTTTGTGTTTGGAGGCTGAGCTTAGATAGGATTCTCATGCTGAAAAGGTTGTTGTCATTAGGACTATAAATCAAAACTGTTTGCTCTTCTGGGAAGCTAGAACTGCCGAAATCCACGTGCAGCTACTGAGGTTATTCTTTGGGCTATAGAGCCAAATTCACCAGAAAAGTCTCCCTCTGTGTCTTTGCCAGGTCCTCAGGCTAGTTTAAGCGGTTTTCACTTTTTCCTGGAGCATAATGTATTGCCTTGCCAGCCTTCTACAGAGGTGTTCTTCTGTCCTTCTAGTGAGACGGTCCCAGAAAACTTGAGCTGGATAAAAAAAACAAAACTGTTTCTTCCTCTGCTCTGTATAACTCCCAAGTGCCTTGCCTTCAGTACAGTATTCTTGATGCTATTTGGCCTTTTATGTATTACTATGTGCCAGTCTAGCAAAGAACAACCGTTCTACACTACGTGTAGCCTCTGTTGTGGTGGTGATAGGAGAGAATTTCTTCCTCTTTAGTACTTAAGTCTGGTATTTTGAGGTATTTTTTGAATTGTAGACTCTAGGGTTATTTGATGTCTTGTTTCTCAGCAACTTGATGTATACTTGAATCCTGTTCGTGACCCGTCTTCTGATGTGGGAAGGCAGGACAGCATTGCCCCATGGCAGTTCTGTGAGTAAATATGGGACATGGCTAATAGTTACTGTGGAAGTCTGAGTACTGGAAATGGACTGCTTTTCAGTTTGGATCCTGAAGTTCTGGTTCTTGGCTACCTAGTGACTATTGATGGTTCTCTTCTGACTGAGTTACAGGAGCTGAATGTAAATTTGTCAGTGGTGAAATGCTGCACTGGTAGTGTTTCACAGTGGCTAATGTAGTTTTACTGTTGTGCCAACATGTTCTGGGACTTCAACCAAAGACAAAGTGTGTGCTGGAAACAGGAGGGATTGCAGAAATACAGTATGAGCAAACTGTGTCTGTTGAAATCAGTTCTTTCTTTTAAATCATTTAAGAGGGCAGGGAAACTCACCTGGGTTAGAGAAGCTGTGACCTTTTAGGGCGGAGGTGACTGTACTTGTTTCATGGAGAATGTCAGCTTACCACTTTTATGGCCCTTAAGCTACAGGAAATTTAGAATTTCCTACTTTGAACCTCCCACTGATGTCAGCAGAAGAGTTTTAAAGCAGCCAGATCAGAATATGCCCTCACTGAAAACTGCTAGTTAATGTTGTTTAAGTGTCTTACTTAGCACTTGGCCTTTGGTGGCGAAACTGCTGTCCATTTGATCTGTACTTAGTTCTCTGCTTTTTATTTTATTCCTCCCTACATTTTTCTTTCCATTGCTTTTTCTATCTTTGCATTTCTTTACCTAACGCATTACTAAATGAGCAGTGAAACAAAGATTGCCCACACTAAAAATGGTATGCTTATGAGCTTTTGCTTCACTGAGATGTTAATAGGAAAGACTGTTCTTCCTAATTCTGGCTTTCTGCAGGGTGGGGTGGACAACCTGATTTTAATTATATATATATTATATATACAATATATAAAATTAATATATACATTGTCTTTATATTGACATATATATTTTACACACACACACATATATATTTGTCAAAGTTTTCAGGTGAACAGCTCAGCTCAGTAATTCCTTTGTTAACTTTCTGCTGTCTTTTTCTTAATTCTTCTACCCAGCTTTCTGCAGAGGACGTATTGTGAGAGTGCCCAAAGGTCCTCTTATTCGAGTCATGGGCACAGAGGTGGTGATCCCTTGCAGTGTTAGCGACTACGATGGACCCAGTGAACAGAACTTTGACTGGGAATTTTCACGGGAGACTGACTTCATGCGGATAGTGAGTACCTGGGATTCTACGTTCACCTCTGAGGAGTACCAAAAACGTGTGGGCCAAGGGGATATCAAACTGAGACGGAGCAGCAACGATGCTGTGGAACTCGTGATTAGAAACATCCAGCCAGCTGATCAAGGGAAATACAAATGCTCCACACCCAGCACTGATGCCACCGTTCAGGGAAATTATGATGCTGAGGTCCAAGTGAAAGGTATTTCTGAAGAGTGAGGTGTGCTCTAAATTTGTTTTGGATACTGATTTTACATGTACATTTCATGCTGAATTTATGTTGCTCATAAGCGTTTTTTTTTCCTGTTACTGTTTAATTTTCCTGATGCTAAAATCCCAAATTAGGAAGTATGATAGCAGCAGAGGGAAGTGAGATGAAGAAGTGAAGGGACGCTGTTACTCTAAATACCACTGTACTTTTTCTATGTAGCAAATATGTAAATATAAATGGGAAAACTAAGCAGTGGGTTTTCTGAAGATGTCGGTGAATATTTAATCTCAGTAAGCCTCTGGGCAGAGAGGCTAACTTTAGGTACAAAACACAGCCTGTCTTCTCTTTTTTATTTATAGTGTCATTTAGATATCTCTGTCTATGAAGGAAGTAATCTTCCTTTTCCCCTTTAGCATGTTGTTCCTGCAGTTGTGTCCTAGCTTTGCTCTCTCATTTAGAGTTCTTTAGTAATAATTTGGGAGACAGTTTTTTGAAGTGTTTTATCTTTTACTACCATGAAAATCAAAATAGTTCTGAATGGGAACAGCCAGAATAATGTTACTTGGATGAGAAATTGAAGTGAGGGGAAGGATTAAATGAAGTTGAATGCTTGTCTAAAGTGGGGTGCTTCCTTTAATGATTTTTTTAGCTGAATTTTCTTGTTCCTGGAATGCTGCTGTGTGGAAGAAGAATGATTGTCCAGGTGATGATCTGTGGTGGTTTTACTACCTCAGAGCTGAACCAGTCAGTGTGCTTTCCTTGCTCCCATTTTATGATGCTTGTTTTATTTTTTTTCTTTTCAAATAGTGATTTCTGATGGCTTAATGGTGAGTGGTACAAAAGCTCGTTCCTCAATGTCCCTCAAGCTGTCTGAGGGCGATTCCTTCAAGTTGCGCTGCTCAGCCATCACCACCTCCCCGGAGCACACTCACTTGCACGTGACTTGGCAGATCAAAAGTGGATCAACTTGGCGGGACGTTCTATCTTTGACTCATGAGGGCAAGTTCCAGCCTGGTCCTGGCTATGAAGAGCGCTACCGAAATGGAGATATCCGTTTGGACACTGGAGCAAATGACACATATCGATTATCTGTGTCCCAGGCCTTGCCGATGGATGGGGGTACCTACAGGTGTCTTGTGAGCGAGTGGGTGAGAGGGGCAGATAGCTCATGGCAGAAGATTCAGGAGAAGAGTGTGGAGATAGCAAGCGTGGCAGTCCAACGGACTGGTAAGTATTACTGGTGAGAGACTGGCTGGGGTTATCAAAGCTTGTAGCTTACCACTGTATTGTGTCGAGGCTGTGATACTCTGAGAGTAGAAATTGGGTCAGCTGAACTAAATGAGGGTACCTTCCAGGAGAATTAGACTGCTGTTTGGGTGTCTGGCCAGTCTACCCCTGAGTTGGAGACCAGTGCTTGTTGTGATTTTGCAAGCTCTTATTTTGGGGGAAACGGGGATGATGGCATGGAAGGATTGACTACAGTGTCTTAGATGTCTAGATGTAGATTTTTACCTCATGCTTAGATCACATCTGATCACCTCTGGTTTCTCTATTTTGTAAGCAGCATCATATTTACCTCTGAGCGTACTAGACTTACCTCTCTGTTCTCTCGTTGATTTAAGGTTGTTCCATAGCACCAAACAGCTGCATTTCCCCTTAAAGCTGCCTTATGCTTCAGTGACAGGCGTGAAGCTTTTCTGTATGTTGTGTATTAAAATAATTTAGAAAGATGGGGACAAAAGAGGAAGGTGGTGATGATTTCAAAGGACAAATGATCCAGTACTGTCCAGTGGTTTCTAACACTGCCACTGGAGAACTGGACTGATTGCTCCACTGTGTTGGCAGGGGTCTAGGATAGTAATGGTTCTTTTAAATACACTATTGCATGTCTGACTAAGGCGGAGTAGATTACAGGTGTTCATGAGACAAAAATACAGGTGCTGTGCTGAGGATATTCGGATATCTCTGCCCATAGGTTTCAGTAGATGCAATGAGCACTTAATTGCATTAGCATTACTATTGCCATTTGGAGGAGGGAAAGCAGAGGGTGGTGCATTTTGTCACTCAATGGGCGATAAAAACAGGCGATGATGATCCCTAAGAAATATGAGTGTATTTTATAAAATGTCCAGAAAGTAAGGGTATCTGCCATTCAAAATCCTTTAATCACTACAGGGAGGACCCAGAACTGCTGGGTTTTGGCTAGCTCATTTGGATGTAGTTTTAGCATCCTAGCGGTGCTTAGCTTGTGATATCTGATGGGATCAATCTGCCTTGTCTTTCTCGAGACGTCTGTTACTCAGTAAAGCTTGCATGTGCTCTCTGCTGAGACAAGGGTTGCTAATTAAGAGCTGTAATTCTCCATTTTGTCCTGCTTCTGGAGAAGTTGTTTTAAGTAGATGACATTTAATCAGTGGCTGAGGACAGACTGAGAGGCCAGGAACAGTAGCAGTGCCTGATAGGCTCTGTCATTGGCAGCACTGCCAATTTGTCAGGGGCGTGAAAGCTTTGGCTAAACTTGCACTAAATAGAGAGGTCATTCTCCAGCAAAATGATGCGCAACTTGTTGCGCGCATATCCTTTGGTATGACTTGCAGAGCATCTTGTGCTGGCATCTGAAGTCTCTGAGCTGCACCTGCGTGCTAAGGTCAGCTTGAGTTCTAAATACCAGACCTGGGTACTACACTTCTCTTGTTCTCTCCTGGGGTTGAATTGGCAGAAACAAAATAAACAAGCAGATAAATGATAAAAGGTGAATTAGCATATCCAAAGTGTGTACTTAAAAAGAAAAAAGCCAAAGCTACTTGTGTAAGTAGCACAGGACCCGTGTGTAATTATGTGGGTTCTTTTGCTGCTGTTAGTTTTCTCTGCCTGCCCATCACATTTGTCTCCTTAAATTATGGCATCTCTGGGCCTGACGTTGTACTTCTATATGCTTTTTTTAATAGTGCCTTAACAGGGGTTTAACCCTAAACGAGGCCTTCAGACACTTCCATAACAGAAAAAGGAACCTTAAGTAACCTCTCTTGGAGTGCTTCTCTATGGTTGTACTGCCAGGCTGTGAGTGCCTGTCACTAGCGCATGAAGACCAAAGTGTTCCTTGGAGTATTGCTGATCTTAACCTTGCAGATGAGTCTTATTTGGTATTCTGGTATCAGTCTGTTGAATTAGCTAAGCCTTTCTACTCTTTCTGCTAAATTCAATCCTATGACAGGAGCGTGGGAGAAATCCCAAGGAGGGTCCTCATCAGGTAGAGAACTTGGCTTTCTCTCTCAGGTGGGGCTTGCAAACTTCTGTTAAGTTTGACTGTTGTTCACTCTCCGATGGGGAGCAGTGAGAAGAGTGCTGCTTGGTTTTGCTGGCAGTAGTAGTGGCCAAACAGAAACTCAGTTTGGCTCTGGCGTTTATAGATTGTCTCTCATTCCTGATTATAGTCCTAGAAAGGTTTTACAGGTGTGGGTATGTATTATGCACAGGGTAGGATGTGGTTTTACGCAGAAGTCACTGCTCTGCCTCTGAGGCACAGCTGGCTATTTAAGGCAGGAGCCTGTATCCTTTCTTGTACTGGTCACAGAAATGCTGAGAACAGCTACTACTGTGGCAGCCCTGTCCGCTTGCTTTAATTGAGACTTTAAGTACAGCTGCCTATGCGCTGTGGAAACAGTTGGTGTTGCATCTTTAGGATGACAGAAGGAACAGGTGAAGGCATATGGTGACCACATAACTTGGTATGATTTGTGCTGAGCTTTACAAACAGTACAAGCAGCACTCTTGGTTCATCTCTTGTATGTATGCCCTGAAGTCCCTGATGATATTTATTTACTTATTAACTAAACTACTGCCAGCCTGGTAACCTACAGAATGCAGAACGTCCTGGTTGAATGCTGGCTGTGGTCATGTGTACTATGTGTATTAAAAATAGTCATTGGCCAGAAGAGGAGTTTAAATGTGTTGTGAGTTGCTCTTGGCGTTGCTGCAAAGTCTCTAGCGTGTGTAAGTGGAGGAGTTAGCTGTGTAAGGAGTTATCCTTGCCTTCTGTTAGCTTCCGTTTCATGTTTCTGCCACACCCCTGCAGTCAGTCAGGAGTTCAAAAATGTGGCCGTGGCTGCTTCTCATCTCAACTGTATTTCACCCTTCTGTTAGAGGAGCTCAAAACCATTTTAAGAGAAACCAAGTTGAGCTCTAGTGTAGTTGCTAGTGGTTTCAGTGGAGGGTCTCCCTTCTGAGAGCAGTACGGTAACACTTTGACCCTCCTGTGAGAACAGGAAATCCTTTACCTGTTTTCACGCTGTGGGAGGGTTGTGTGCAGTTTGTGACTGGGACAAAGCCTTCCCAGGTGATCCTGGACCAGCTGATTTTGACTTATGAAAACTGTTCTCTCTCCCTTCCCCCAGCCCCTTCCGCCATCACATATCCCTTGCTTGAATGATAAAGCATACTTCTTTTGTAATAGATCAAGATAATTCGACAGCTTAGTAGCCAAGGAAGCATGTGAAAGTAGGACTACTGAGCTACTTGAGAAGTTTCTGTCTGTAACAGAACATGAAGCATTGGATAACTTATAGTGTACTTGTGTTTTTTTTTTTTTGTTTGTGTGTTTGTCTCTTCTTTTCCAAGCTCTAGATGTGCTCATCTCAACAGGAAATGTGTCTGTGACTGAAAGAGACTCCCTGGATCTTACCTGTAACATCACAACAGACAGGAGCGGTATTTTCCAAGTTGAGGTGATGTGGTATTTCACTGCGTCTCCTGATGGTACCTTGTCAGATGCTCAGGTTTTGCTGAGCATGGACCATGATTCTGTTGTCAGTGACTCAACACTCATCAGCCTGAGCCATGTGGATAGGAACTCCTATCGCCTGCTGGTACGTGACGTGGATGTGGAGGACTCTGGCTACTACTTCTGCCAAACAGCTGTTTGGGTACCACTGCACAATGGGAGCTGGCATAAGGTCGTGGAGAGAACATCTGCACCAGTCAGTGTGGTAGTGACAGCATTAGGTGAGTGGTTGCGCTGTCAGACTTAATGGATAACATACCATTCCTTCTTTGCTCCCATCAGAAAAGGGAGAGGACTGTATAGGGTCTCTTATGTGCAAGTTTCTGTCTCATTTGCAAGTATCCATGCGTTATCTATATGTAGGGTATCTCCCTCTCGTATGTAGAAAACGCTGATCTATCCTGTGGAGTTTTGCGTTTGTGCATTATGGGTGTTTTGGATCTCCTAATGCATGTCCTACCCGTGCACTCCACTTTCTGGTGTCACTGAACAGTCTGCAAATGAAAAATATTACCAGAGGGCATCCCTAGTCTGCTGGGGGCTGAAGCTGCCTCCAGTGTCACTTTGTCTCCTTTCATCCCTGTTGTACTGTCAGCAGGGCTCTGATCTAGCAACTGGCATTGTCTCTAAGCTCTGAACACAGTGATATCAAATGGTTCCCATGGTTTTTATGAATTATATGCCATAATAATTATTTATAATGCAAACTTCATAGTAGACTCTAATAGCTTTCCAAGTTTGGGATTTTTGTGGGGATGAGGATTTTTTTTTTTGTTAACGCTAGAGAGACCACACAGTGATGATGTTTTTGGGATAGGACATGATACTGCTTTATTCTCCTCCCTCAATGTACACAAGTCCATTTTAGGAGACCATGTCACATAGCTGTTTAGTAGTGTGGCTAAAAGAGACTGAGCTAGCTACTTATTTAAGGCGGAAAGTGTTGATTAGCAGAGTGGCCCATTAATATGTTTTTTCCTGTGACATTTAGCTTTCTACTGAGTTTTATTTTTTGTGATGTATGTTTTGATTGTTTAATTCTAGAAGTGAGTGGATTTCTATGCTTTTGGACAGGCAAAGGATTATTTGTGCATTTGAACGTCCAAGGCTTGCAGCATTTTTGCAGTAACTTCTTTCCATTCACAATGGAAAAAACATCTACTTAAAGAGCAACGTGATGATCTCTTTATTCTCTCCCTTTGATCTCTTCCAACTCTTCTTAGTGTGTTTCCCCATCATACTGCTCTAATACCATCAACATCCAAACTTATTGCAAAGGACAGGTCAGGAGGGATTATGTTTAACAATTGTTGCACGTTGAGTTCTTGAATTTAGATGTAGAGGTTGGTGTTTTAGACAAGATTTTGAATGAGGAACAGGAGGTGAAGGCTAAAGGAGGTTCAACAGGCTTATCTGGTCTACCTGGCCTACAAAGGCAGGCTAACAGCATCTTTCCTTTTTTCCCAAGAGAAAAATCTGTTCAAGATCACTGTCATATGCATACTGAAGACTGTAAAGCTTCTGCTTTGCATTACCCTAGCTGAACTGTTAAGCTCTGGAGTGCTGTCTTTATGCAAATATCCTTAGAAGCAAAGTTATTGGGAGCAATAGTGAAAATGAAACCCAGGCAAAGCTTCTGAAAAGGTTGTCTTTTCAGGGATGGGTCTAGATATTATATGTTAGTCTACATATCCTATCCCTCTGTTTCATCTTGGAGAGAAAATAACTCCTTCAACTTAGAAGCAATAAAACTCCTGAT